CCAAGGGTCGGTCACGCCCCGATGGTCTCTCGGTGACGGTGGCCAGCTCGTCTCCTCTGAAATCGAGGTGCCCCTGCACGGAACGCCACTGGCGAGCGAGAACCATACAGGAGCTGAGCTCCCGATCCCTTCAAACTGCACGGCTGAGCTCTGCCCTGGATGCCCTGGAGAACGGTGGATGTGAATTCCATCCCGCCCTCAGGGTCGGGCGGATATCCACAATTTTACATTCGTCCCTCCACGAGAAGCCATCCAGATCCCCGGGGCGCGACTCCGAGGCGGCGGGAGCGGATCTGCGCGCGGGAGAGAGGTCATCGGCGCCGCTTAAGACGAAGCCAGGACGAGGATAAAATCGGGTGAGGATGAATCGAGAAGCTCTGAGGTCCCACGGCTCGGGAGGATATCTCGGGCGCCGCGGCCTTCTCAGAGCGTTCCCGCCGCCGCCGCCGCCGCCGTCGTCGTCGTCGTCGTCGTCGTCGTCGTCGTCGTCGTCGTCGTCGTCGTCGTCGTCAGAGCGCTCTGGAACGGATTTATGCTCGTCCTGGCCCCGCCCGATCGCTGCAGCTCGCAGGAGCGAGGGCAGAGCGTTCCCGCCGTCGTCGTCGTCGTCGTCGTCGTCGTCAGAGCGCTCTGAGAAGGATTTATCCTCGTCCTGGCCCCGCCCGCTCGCTGCAGCTCGCAGGAGCGATGATGATGATGATGATGATGATGATGATGATGATGCTGATGCTGATGCTGATGCTGATGCTGATGCTGATGCTGATGCTGATGCTGATGCTGATGCTGATGCTGATGCTGATCGCTGCAGCTCGCAGGAGCCAGGGCCTGGGTCCCACCGGTTGGGGGCCCTGGATCGGGCCGACATCGGCGCGCCCCCCCGAGCCCCGACCACGGCAGCCCCCGCGGGACGCGGGCCGACCGGGAAATCGGGCCAGCGCCGATGCAGTCCCGCGGTGGAGACGTATACCCCACCTGTGGACATGGGAATACACGTGCGTGTACGTGTATGCATATGAACCATATACACATGTACATACCTACATACGCACGTACATGCATGCATAATTACATCCATGCATGCATGCAGGCAGGCAGGCATGCATACAGACATAGATAAATACATACATACATACATGCATAAACACATGCCTACACACATACATACATACATACATACATACATACGAAAGAGCGTGTTCTACCGCTGCTGGCGGAAAACCGGGGGGGGGTCACTACCGGTTCGAACCCCTCCCCCCCCCCCCAGCTCATCATGAAAAGGGGGGGGGTCACTACCGGTTCGAACCCCCCCCCCTCCCTCGAAAACCGAGTGGGGGTGCGGACAGTGGTGGGGACGGTGTTGGTGGGGACAGTGGTGAGGGGACAGCGGGACAGTGGTGGGGACAGTGGGGGGACAGTGGGACAGTGGTGGGGACAGTGGTGGGGGATAGCGGGACAGTGGTGGGGACAGTGGGACAGTGGGACAGTGGTGGGGACGGTAGTGGTGGGGACAGTGGTGGGGACAATGGTGGGAACAGGGGGGGACAGTGGACAGTGGTGGTGACGGTGGTGGTGGGGACAGTGGTGTGGGGACAATGGGAATGAGGTGGAAACAGTGGGACAGTGGAGGGTACAATGGTGGTGGGGACAGTGGTGAAGGCGGTGGCGAGGACGGCGGTGGGACAATGGGACAGAGGTACAGTGGGGACAGTGGTGGGGACAGTGGGGACAGTGGTGGGAACAGTGGGACAGCTCAGTGGGACAGCGGAGGAGTCAGTGGGATAGTGGGGACAGTGGGGATAGTCGGGCAGTGGTTGGGGCCGTGGAGACAGTGGGGAGAGTGGAACCGTGGTGGGAACAGTTCTGGGGACAGCGGGGACAGTGCGACAGTGGTGGGGCACTGGTGGGGACAGTAGGGGCGGTGGTGGAACCAGTGGGGACAGTGGTGGTGAGGTGAGGACAGTGGTGCTGGGAACACCAGTGGGGGATGTGATGCGGACGGTGGTGGGGACCGGGAGTCGTTTGCTGGCGGTGAGTAGGGGGGGGGGGGAAAGGGGAAGGGGGGGTGCGAACCGGTAGTGGCCCCCTCCAGTTTTCCGGATCCGGAGGGTAGGGGGGGGGAGGGGGGGTGGGGGGGAGGGGTTTCGAACAAGGGGGGGGTAGTGACCCCCCCGGTTTTCGAGCGGGAGGGGAGGGGGGTGGCGGGGGGTGGGGGGTTAAGGGGAGGTGGGGGGGTTTTTGGCCGGGGGCGAGGGGGGGGGGGGGGGGGGAGGGGGGGGGGGGGGTGGGGGGGGGGTGGGGGGGGGGTGGGGGGAGGGGGGGGGGGGGGGGGGTGGGGGGGGGGGGGGTGGGGGAGAGGTGGGGGGGTGGGTGGGGAGGGGGGGGGGGGGGGGGGGGGGGGGGGGGGGGGGGGGGGGGGGGGGGGGGTGGGGGGGGGGGGAGGGGTTCCGGCAGGGGGGGGGGGGGATTTTCGGAGGGGGGGGGGGGGGGGAGACCCCCGGGTTCCGGAGGAAAAGGTTGGCAATTTTCCACAGTAAAGCGGCGGTGGATCACGCTCTCTCATACATACATACATACATGCATACATACATACATACATGCATGCATGCATGCATGCATGCATGCATGCATACATGCATCCATGCATGCATGCATGCATGCATGCATGCACGCACGCACGTACACATACATACGTACGTACGTATATACGTGCATGCGTACATGCGTACATGAGTACACGAATACACACATACACACATACACTCATACATACACAGACATATGCTTACATACAGATATACCTACAGACATACATATCTATGTGAAAGAAAATATAAATGCATGCGTGCATGCATACATGCATACATACATATATGACATGCCTGCATGCATGCATGTGTATGTACATGTATACATTGGATCCATGTAAACAGATGCCTGCACACACATACACACATACATACATACGTGCATGCATGCATGCATACATACATACAGACATGCATATGCATACATACTTGTATAAAAATATGCATACTTACACACCTACAAATATACCTACAGACTCATCTACATACATATGAACGTACATGCACACGGATCTACATACATGCATGCATACATGCATACATGCATACATCCATACAGACTGATGCATACATGTACGCATGCATGCATTAATACACACCTACACACACGCATGCGTGCACGCACGCATGCATGCATACATATATATACATACATGGATGCGTGCACCCACACGTACTTACTTATACGCATGCATGCATGCATGCATACACACATGCCTACATACATGCCTACTTGCCTGCGTGCAAACATACATACATTCATGCATACATGGATACAATCGTACATACATACATGCATGAATGCCTGCAAAAGTAAATGCATGCACACATACCACAGTCATACATACATACGCACGTACATACACACACATACATACATACACACACATACATAGATGCATACAGACTTACACACATACATGCATACATGCATTCATGGATGCATGCGTACATACGTACATGCAACACACACGAAGACCTACGTACATATGTACATGCATAAATGCATAGCCATACACATACAGACATGCATACATATGTAGATACATACATACATACATACATACGTTACATACATGCATACGTGCATGCATCATACATGAGCACATACTACATACACATGTACATGCATACAGATTCATATATATACACATACATACATACATACATACATACATACATACATACATACATACATGCATGCATACACATGGACATGCACATCCATATACACGTACACACACATACACATACACATATGGCATTCATATATATATATATATATACATGAATACATACATAGATCCATACATGCATACCTGCATACATGCATGCATGTACGCATGCATACAGACAGACAGACAGACAGACAGACAGACAGACAGACAGACAGACAGACAGACAGGATTGCATGCACGCATGTATGCCTACCTACCCGACTGTATTCATACGTACGTACCTGCCTACACATGTACACATATACAGATATATGTGTGCGCATGTTTACACATGTACAGGTCTGTGTGTGTACTCCACTCTGCGCCTGGATCTTGGCAGACATGCCCCCCACCCTGAGCCTGGCGCCTGGCCGATATCAACGATGACCATGACAAAAGTCGGGCCGCAGCGGAGGCTCGGCGGCGCACAGCTGAATCACTTGCTGGCACCCGTCGCCACCTGCTACGTCTGGCTCCGCCGCCTCGCGCCGTCGGCCTGGCCGCAGCCGCGGGATGGGCGTCAGCTCAGGCGCTGGGCGGTTCCAGGGGCCCCCCTCGCACTCCGCGCCCGCGCCAGGGGCTGAGCTCCTTGGAAGACCTGGGCTGAGCGCCTTGGACGAGAGCTCGGCCCGGCGCCGACTCGACCCCCACCGCCAGGCCCAAAACTGGCTGTCGGAGGAGCGCCCGGCGTGCCGAGGGGGCCCCCGCAGCCGCCCGCATCGCCTCCCCGCCGGCCCCCTCCGCAGCCGGCAGCCCAGAGCCGCCAGTGCCCCCAACAGCGGCGGGCCACCAATGCGGGCCCCGAGGCCCGGGCCGCTGCTGCGGGCTGCGCCGCCTGGCGCGAGCTGTCGGCAAGGTCGAGCCTCGCCCTCTCCTTCGTTGGGGGCTTAACTTAACGACTTATGCCGTCCCTCGACTCGCGCTGGATCGGCCACCACTTGCTCCACATGTTCCTGGAGATCTCTGGATCCAGTTGGATTGCCACGATTCACTTGCATTTACCTCGAATCATCTGCACTTACCTGGATTCATCCGGCTCGATCCCCACAAGTCGATTAGCGAAAAGTCGTCAAGTCCGTGGGGACTCCTGCCGACTGCCGCCGCGCCGCTCCACCTGCTGCCAGGCAGCTGGCGCCGCCGTAGCTCCCCACGCTCGGCCGGGCTCCTGTCCGCGACCAGGCCTGCCTGGCCCGAGCCAGCAGCCGGCCAGCGACTCCGCCGCGGATGCGCGCGAGCCGCCCTGCGCCCCCGCTTGCCGGCCCGAGGCGCCGCGGCCGCGCGCCCACAACCGCGAGCGAGACTCTCCGTTGACCTCGACGCGGCCTGCCCGCCGACGGGAGTATCGACGACGTCCTGTCCCCCGCCGTCGCCCTGCGGCCCCAGGATGCAGACGGCAGCCTTCCCCTCCGAGCTCCTCGGAGCCGCTGGCCCCACCGAGCTCCCCGAGCTGGCCTTGCAGATTGCCCTCGGCGGCCGCACGCTGGTGCGAGGCGCCCTCGCTGGACGCCGCCGTGGCGCCGAGGGTGGTGTCTCGCGGATGCCGCCGGGAGCGTGGGACTGCAGCTGCGGCTCCGCCTGGCCCCGGCACAAGGAACCTTGGGTGAGCGGAGCCCCTCGAGGGACCCCCCCCTCCACGCCTGGGTGAGCGAGGAGCGCCGGAGGAGCGATCTGCGGAAGGACCTCGGGTGCGCCGCGCCCCTCCTGGAACCGATGCGGGCATCCCCCCAAAAAGCTGACCGTGCCTTGTGCCAGTGGCGGGAGAGGTGGCAAGCGGTCTCAGTGACCTTCGGACGGGAGCAGGGACCAGGCCAGGGAGGCGCCTCCTAAGCCCAGGAGCCCACCCGGCGTGGCGGGGGCGCGGGGACGGGCAGGGGGCAGGGCGGTGGGAGGCGGGGCGGCGCCTAAGGACGCCGTTGGAGGCGTCGCCGTCCGTGGCCCCAACACGGGGCGCGGCGGCGGCACTCGACGCTCCCTCACCCCGCCCCGCCCGCTCGCCCGCGTCACTGGCGGGAAGGGGAAGGAGGGGAGAGGGAAGGGCGCGGAAGGTCCACAAAGCAGCGCGGGGAGCGGAGATCGACGTTGTGGTTGCGATCCCACGAGCCCACGCCCTCGCCACAGGCGCAGCGAGAGGAGGAGATGGAGGAGAAGGAGGTGGTGGTGTTTCTCCTCCTCCTTCCCTCTCGTCCTCCTCCTCCTCCTCCTCCTCCTCCTCCTCCTCCTCCTCCTCCTCCTCCTCCTCCTCCTCCTCCTCCTCCTCCTTCTCCTCCTCCTCCTCCTCCTCCCTCCTCCTCCTCCTCAATCCGCTTCCTCCTCCTCCTCCTCCTCCTCCTCCTCATCTCTCCTCTCTCACCTCCTCCTCCTCCTCCCTCCCCGCTCCTCCTCCTCCTCCTCCTCCTCCTCCTCCTCCTCCTCCTCCTCCTCCTCCTCCTCCTCCTCCTCCTCCCCTAAGACTGTGATGATAGCAGTGCCCATCATTCCGATGACGAGAGGCCGTGTGCCACGATTGAACAGCACGAAGCTGCAAGCGAAGGCCAAATGACAAGCGGGGCTGGGCATCAGAAACGGCTCCACACATTCATGACATGTCTACGCTTTCCCTTTTCAACCCTGGGGGGAGCCACGGAGGACGAGGAGGACGAGGAGGACGAGGAAGAGGAGGACGAGGCGGAGGGGCAACAACAGAACAAGGACGAGGAACGGAGCGGCAAGGACAAATCGCGGTCCGTGAGCCCACGTCCTTATCACAGAACCAGCAAGATGAGGAAGAGAAGAGGAAGGGAACGGCGGCAGCGGAAGGACAAGGAGCGGAGCGGAACGGATAGGTCGCAGTCAATGAGCCCACGCCCTCACAGCAGAACCAGCGAGAGGAGGGGGAGCAGGAGAAGGACAGGGAAAGCGGAGAGGGTGGATGTGAGGAGCTCGAGCTCCCAGCAGCCCCTCCACATGCCTGCACTGCCCTGGGGCTCCAGAGCATCCCGGCGCCGCTGGGGTCCGCGACGGCGACGCGGATCGTCCTGGCCGCCCAGGAGGTGGTTGCTCGGGCTCGGCGGACGTGAGAAGAGGGAAGTGAGAAGGGGCGGACCTGCTCAGAAGGCCCGGAAGTCCCCCAGCGTTCTGAGAGGTGTTCGAAACCTTCCCCGAAGACACAAGAAACTTATCAGAAGGCCGGAGGCCTTGTGAGAAGTTTCGCCACCTTCTGAGAAGGCCTTCTCCTTCTTTCTCACTTACCCCCCGCGCTCGCCGCCGACGTGTGGTGAGGCTGGAGAACACGCTGCGTGGATGATTTGTGGGGAGCACTCTGCTCTAGCCGGCCCTCGCAGGACCACCACGGGGCCAGGCGCCCTCAAATCCGCCACTGTGCCTCCTGTACGACATGGAATACCCCAAGTCTCAAGCAGGTTTACGAGTTTGGTGGGTTGCAAGATTCTTCCAAGCCTGGACCACGAGTTTCGCAGAATCTCCGAGCGCTCTTGGGCGGCCTCTGGGCGAATGCCCCGCCCTAAACGACCCGAAGAAACCCCAAGCTTTCTGGAGAAGCACCGAACAGGGTCCAAGAGCGCCACGGCCCCAGAAGGCCCCAAGACTGCCCTCGATAATTGCCATCCAGAAGGCCCTGAGAGGCCAAAAGTATAGCTTTTTCTTCTGATGTTTGAGAGATTTGAGCGTTCTCACCTTTTCGGACTTCCGACCCTCCATCACGGCCCGAGAGGCCTCCAAGATCGCACCAAGACAAGAGGGCCCCCAGACGACCCAAAAGTGGCCCAAGACGGTCCAAGGCGCACCCCAAACTGCCCAAGAGGGCCCTAAGATAAGGAACTCGAACTGAAATTTCGCGCCTTCCGCCCCAAGATGCTCCCCGAGAACCCCAGCAGGCCCCCAAGACGCACCCCAGAAGCCCCATGAGGCCCCCAAGAGGCCCAAATCAGGCCCCAGGAGGCCCCCAAGAGGCCCCGAGAGGCCCCAAGACACCCCCAAAATCGATTCCTTGAGGCTTCCGAGAGGCCTCCCAAGAGATCCCCATAGGCATCCAAGAGGCCTTTGACCTCCAACCGAGGCACGGTGACATTTTGAGACGCATGTCGCCAAACCAACCGTCACAATTTGGTAGCATATAGGTTTCGGCACCTACTCGCTCGCTGCAGGCTCCGTAATGGTATACCATCCCTCGCCTCTTCCTTCCTGCATCACTCTTCCTCCTCCTGCTCCTCCTCATCCCCCCCCCTCCTCCACACTCCATGCCTCACCCATCCCTCCTCCCTGTCCATCCTCCCTTTCTTCCTCCCTCCCTACCTCACTCCCCACCTCGCTCCTCAAACTCCTTCCCCTCCCCCCTTGTCCTCCCTCCCCCCCTCCCTCCCACAAAAACAAATTCGCTCAAAATCGGTCCCTGGATCCCCTCCGGAGTCCATCCGATGCAATTTGTCACCCCGGATCCGTTTTTGACAGCCCCCGGGCCCGAAAACGGCCCCCAGAGACAAGAAAAAACAAAACAAAAATAACAAAAACCTTCCCGGACCCAAAAACTCCAACCCTCCTTCCGTCCTCCTCCGTTTTGAAGGAGCAGAGGAGAAGGAACACCCCACCGACTGCATCATCCAGTCGGCACGTAAGCGATACTGTGTGAGACAGGTGGGACACACACACACACACACACAGCTACGACTCCGGGACAGGTGCGGAGTTTCGGCCACGCTCGCAGGACAGAGCGTGCGGGCTGCACAGACTTGGAGCTGCGCACAACCCGCTTTGACTTTCCGACTCCTGAGTGCGGGTCCGAGCATAACAAACGCGACAGGAAGAGGGCGAGGAAAAGCCACGGGACTCGCGAGGCTGCGTACGGAGGAGCTCCGCTAAGGAAGCTGGCGCGCCTGCGGCATTCAGATGATCACTGCGCTGGTGAGGTCAGGCCCGTCGGGCGTGACGAAGAGGAGGACGCAGAGGAGGAGAAGGAGGAGAAGGAGGAGGACTGGCAAGGCTGCGCAGAGGGGGCGAGAATGAGGAGAGCGAAGGTGAATTTCAAAGGCAAAAGGCGTTTTCGCCCGGTTTCGGGCCACTGGACCATCACAAGATGATCTGACTTGAAAAATGCAGCAAAAAGACTAGATCCTGGGCTCTGCTGGCGATTGTTCGCGATGTTGAAATTGTTCAGGAACGTCGGATCTCAAGGACGCAGGTGCGAAAATGAAAACTGGCAAGGTTGCAGGCTGGCGCCCTAACCGCTCCGGGCTACTCGGGGATCCTGTTGAGGCCAGCTGGGACTACCTGAGGGGGCTGCCTGCGCGCAACCTGAAGCCTTACCAAGGAGAACGGGGAGGGAGACGAGGCGGAAGAAGATGATGATCACCACGAGGGACGGAGAACGAGAAAAAGGGCAAGCCCAGGCCATCCTCTCCAGGGGCCCCGGCGTCTCGTTCAGCGGGAGCTCCACGACGATCGGCTGCAGCGGGTTGTAGGGCGTCCTGACCCCATCCACGAACACGTCTGGGCCTCGGCCGTCGTCGTCGTCGTCCTCCTCCTCCTCCTCATCCGCCTCCTCCTCCCCTTATGTTTCTTATTATTCGCATGGTTTATATTTTTTATAGTATTCTTATCACTACTACTACTACTACTACTACTACTACTACTACTACTACTACTACTACTACTACTACTACTACTACTAGTACTACTACTACTACTACTACTACTTTATTACTACTACTACTACTGCTACTACTACTACTACGACTACTACTACTGCTACGATTAATACTAAAACTAGCACGGCTACTTCTAATGAGATTACCACGACTGCTACTACTACTACTACTGCTACTACTACTCTGTCCACTACGAGTACTACTACTACTACTAATACGACGACGAACTACTACGACTACTCCTTCTTCTATCTACGACTACGGCTGCTACTACTACTACTGCTCCTACGACTACTACCACCACTACTACTACTACCACTACTGCGACTACTACTACTACTACTACTACTACTACTACTACTACTACTACTACGACTACGACTACGACTACGACTACGACTACGACTACTACTACTGCTACAAATACTACTACTACTACTACTACTACTACTACTACTACGACGGCGACGACGACGACGACGACGACTACTATTACTATTACAACTACTACTACTACTGCTACCACCACGACTACTGCTACTACTACTACTACTACTACTACGACTGATACTACTAGCACAACGAATACTACGACTACTACTACTACTACTACTACTACAAATACTACTACTACTACTACTACTACTACTACTACTACGACGACTACTACTACTACTACTACTACTACGACTACTGCTGCTACTACTACGACTACAGCTACGACTACGACTACGACTACTACTACTACTACTGCTGCTACTACTTCTACTACTACTACTACTACTACTACTACCACTACTACTACTACTACTACTACGACTACTACTACTACTACTACTACTACTACTACGACGGCGACTACTACTACTACTACTACTACTACTACTACTGCTACTACTGCTGCTACTACTACTCCTGCTACTATGACGACCACTACTCGTACTATTACGAGTACGACTACTACGACTACTACTACTACTACTACTACTACTACGACGACTACTACTACGAATACTAGCATAAACAAGTACATTACCAGTACTAAACTATAGTACTCGTGTTCGTCTTCTTGGTGATCAAGTAGCAAGGATGCGAATAAAAAAAAAAAAAAAAAAAAAAAAAAAAAAAAAAAAAAAAAAAAAAAAAAAAAAACTGGTAACAATGACAATGATAATAATACATATGAAAAGAACATGAATAGCAACATGGAAACTAACACAATTAACTCAAAAAAGAATAGCAGTGCTCACACGAATAATCATACTTATCCCAGTGCGACCCTACCTAGGAGTTGGAGCCCCTAGGGAAGCAGCATTAGTAGTAACAGCAAAGCTAAGCTAAAGCTAAGCTGCAGCTAAGCTACAGCTAAGCTAAAGCTAAGCTAAAGCTAAGCTAAAGCTAAGCTGAAGCTGAGCTAACGCTAAGCTACAGCTAAGCTAAATATAAGCTACAGCTAAGCTAAATATAAGCTTAAGCTAAGCTAAAGATAAAGCTAAAGCTAAGCTAAAGCTAAGCTAAAGCTAAGCTAAAGCTAAAGCTAAGCTAACGCTAAGCTAACGCTAAGCTGAAGCTAAGCTAAAGCTAAGCCAACGCTAAACTAAAGCTAAGCTAAAGCTAGCTAAAGCTAAGCTAAAGCTAAGCTAAAGCTAAGCTAAAGCTAAGCTGAAGCTAAGCTGAAGCTAAGCTAAAGTTAAGCTAAAGTTAAAGCTAAGCTAAAGCTAAACTAAAGCTAAAGCTAAAGCTAAAAGCTAAAGCTAAAGCTCCCAGGGGACTGGGGGAACCGCGGGGCGGGGACTGGGGGAACCGCCCGGGCGCTATGCACTGCCAGGCCCCTTTAAGCTAAGAGAGTAAGAACCCTTCTAGGCAGAGCCTAGGTAGGGAACAAAACGATTCGTACAAACAACGATAACAACTATAATCACCAAAGTAGTCGCCGTAATGATACAAATAATTAATACAATGAAAACCCAAATGATTCACAATCATGGTACAATAAAAATAAGAACACTAATATGTGTATAAGAACAGCAATAACAATGACAACGGAGAAAAAAACTAACCAAAGTCTTGTTAGGGCTATAGGGCTATGCGGCTATTGGGCTATAGGGCGATGGAGCTGTGGGACTAGAGAGCTATGGAACTATAGGGCTATAGGGCTACGGGGATATAGGACTATAAGGCTATAAGGCTATAGGGCTATAGGGATACAGGGCTATATGGCTATAGGCTATAGGGCTATTGGGTTATAGGGCTATAGGGCTATAGGGCTATACGGGTATAAGGGTATAGGGCTATGGGGCTATAGAGCTTTAGGGTTCTAGGGCTCTAGGGCGATAGGGCTATAGGGCAATAAGGCTATAAGGCCATAGGGTTCTAGGGCTATAGGGCAATTGGGCCATAGGGCTATATGGCTATTGGGCTATTGGGTTGTAGAACTATAAGGCTATGGGGGCATAGGGCTATAGGGCTATAAGGCTATAGGGCTATAAGGCTATAGGGCTATAGGGCTACAAAGCACCCAGGCACCGGGGCACCCGGGCACCGGGGCACCTGGGCGGGCCGCGGAAATCGGTGACAAACGTCACCTAACCACATGAATCCGCTGGGACCCCTACAGAGGCAAGCTCTGATTGGGGAATACTGATACTGATACGAAGCCTAACAACGAAATATGATGCTGTCGGTGTTACCATGGTACACCCGCTGCAGGGTGGGTCTCATTCCTCCTTCCGTTCAAATTCCTGCTGGTGCTGTGCGTCCTCGTCCTCCTTCTTCCTCATCCTCCCGTTCCTCCTGTTCATCCTCCTGCTCATCCGCCACCTCCTCTTTCTTCGATCTACGCAGCTCCTTTTTCCCCGATTGCGCATGACACGATGGGGTCCTCCTTGGAACTCCAGGTCCGCTATAACACGCGTCGGCGGACAGAGAAAAAACAGCGCATAGGGAAGGGATGGATGGGAGGGGTAGGATGCCAGATATGGCGCGAGCGCACCTGGCTTGCCTCCTCCCTCCTCTGCTCTCCCAGTTGTCTACCTTCCTCCCCTCTCCCCTTCCCAACTCCTCCCCCCTCGCACCCCGTCCCCGTCCCCTCCTCTCCTCCGTTCCTCCGCCGCGGGCGGCCCTCTTGCCCCCCCCGCACCGTAGGGCGCCCCGCCCACGGCATCCGAGAGGGTGTCCGCACGCGGGCCGCCGCCCCTTTCGGAACACCACTCGCACGGATCGTGCCCCGCAAGGGCTCCACCTGCGGCCCGAGCGGGCGCGGCCACACGCGGACCCGCCCCCAGTTCGGCACGCCCCTCACACAGATCGTACAGGGAGCTCCTGACTACCTACCAGACCCCCCCAACCCAACCCGAAAAACCGAATTTCGGGTTGGGGGGGGGGTATGGGTTCCATACGTGTTTTTTCGATGTTCCCCGGCCCCCCCCCCCACTGGAAATGGATGGCAAATCGGGGCCTTCGGGTTGGGTTGGGGTGGGTTGGTGGGTGGTGAGCTCCGCCAGTGGCTTCAGTGTGGGCGCCCGCATGCGGGCCACCGCCCAATTCGGCACACCCCTCGCGCGGATCGCGCCCCCGCATAAGAAGCTCCGCACCGGCGGCGACGCCCGCACGCGCGCTTTCGCCCAAGCACAGACACGGCCCTCACGCCCACGAGCGGCAAGCACATCCGCCTCCGCGCCCCCGCGGTCTAGGCTCCAGAACGCGGCCCCGCGGACGCGCGGTCGCACGGACACGCTCCGTGTGGGGGGGGCGGCCGCGAACAAAACGCCGCCCCGCGTCCGCCAGGGTCGCGGCCCGAGGCCCGCGAATACGCCTCGTGCCTCCTCGGGGAGCGCCACGTGAGGCCCCCGTGGGGGCGTGCGCCTGCGGGGCCCCTGCCACTTCGGCGCACGCCTCACGCGGGTCGCGCCCCCCCCCCACAGGGAGATCAGGACGCCTCCGCGCGCCTGCCCAGAGGTCCGCGCTGCCCAGAACGCCACCCCTCTCGTGGCGCGCATCGCACGAGGAAGGGCCGCGCCCTGCGCTTCGCGTAAGAGCATGACGTTGGGCCCATCGCCAGGCTGGTTTTCCTGCGATGGAGATCGTCTCTGGAAAAGGTCTATGCGCTGGACGGCGGAGGGGGGATCCGCCGAGGCGTGGCTGGGCTCCAAAGCCGCAGGGACCACGGGCGGCCCAGCGGCAGCGGCAACCCCGAAATGCCCTGAGCAGGGTAACGTTGCCGAGAGGAATCCTCTGGGAGTCCTGCGGTATGCGCTCGGGAGCCCCAACGCACTGCGAAGCACATGGCGGCGCGCAAACGATTCTAAGATGGTCGAGCGCCTGCTCGTGGAAGAGACTCTGGAAAACGAGGGCTGCTGAGAGGCGGGCTGCCCTCTCAAAAAGCAATCCACCCCGCCGCGTCGTCACCTCTTGCGCGCCGCCGCGCCCAAACGCGCCGCCACATCGGTCAGTTGGTCTCCTTGAACTTGTGGATCACGGTCTCCTCCTGGACGGCCTTGTTCGTGTCGCTCTTGAGCTGGTAGAGGCCAGAGCCCCGGGGGTGCTCCAACAGGTGGTGGGTCGTGACCTCGAACTCCTTGAAGGGCACAGGCACCTCGTGGTTCTCGGGCTTGTCGCAGGGCATGTCTCTTGCACAGCCCGTGCCGGTGGATCCCGCGAACATGAGCGCGGGCGGATGCTCCACTCCGGTCCCGAGGAGCGTGAAATTCGACTTCGAGTGCTTCGTCGCCCACTGGCCCATCTCGATGCGGGCCTCAGGGTGCCCTGGAACCTCCTCACTGTAGGCGAGGTAGAAGCGCGTGATGCCCACGTTGATCCCGTCCTCGCGGACCGACTCGTACTCGGGCCAGGGGATGTAGCACTCCTCCATTGGGTCGTCACAGCCGAACGACCGCAGGAAATAGCGGGTGACAAGCGGATTGCCAGGCTCCTCTACTGGTGTGAGGTCCTTCCTGATCTTAAAGGTCATGAACGTGCCGATCTTCTCTGCGAGGGAGTCCAAGATGGGCCAGCCCGTGCGAGGAGCCAAGAGGTTGGTGAGCGAGCCGAGACCGAACGTGTCCTGGTGCCAACCGATGGTGACCTCTTCCACGCGCGAATCGCCGTCACACTTGAAGTCCAACTTCTGGCACGTGGGGCTGAACATGCCACACGGGTTCTCGATCCACTTCCTCATGCCAAGGCGGGTGCCACACAGGAGCTCGTAGGCTGTCTTGCCCCCGCTCGCCGCGGTGCGAAGGCCCGCATCAGCGCCAGGCACCGCGGCCGAGCCGAGCAGCAAGAGCGCCAGCCGGGAGGAGCGGCGCGAAGGGGCCATGATGGGCGTGTCGAGCTGTTGGCTCCGGCCAGGTCAAAATGGCAAGTACAGCGGATGTGACAGCACACGCAGTAAAAAAAGGTTGCGGCTTGAGCGCGATCCTAACCTGAACCAGAATTTCCCCCAGTCGAGCCCTCTGGAAAGGGTGCGGGCTCCATGGCAAACTACATGATAAACATAAACTGTCGGTGGTCCGCCAGCGTTCTTGGATCTGCGCTGAACCCCCCTCCCTGGCGCGAGGACCGCGCCAGGGGCAGCACCAGAGGCGCTGCCAAGGGGGCCCAGGGCTGATCCGAGAAAACCTCCGTATGTTTATGCAGTTGCTCTTCTTCGAAAGCGGCACGCCTATAACCGCACCTCGCGGAGAACGCCTCTTGAGCATCGTTTGACCGATCCCCGTTCCCATCGGCCTGGCCTGGGACCCACTGGCCGATCTACCCCCTATAAATGGGGGCACGGGCTGTTCCCTTCGAGGTTCGAGGGGTATATCCCCTCGTGGGGCAGCGGGATGGTGGGGCTCGGGATGGGGACAGGGATTGGGATGTGGACCGGTGACACGGTATTGCCCCGAGTCTGGAGGACAGGGCCTCAGCCAACCACGAGGAGCCCGAAAACCTGCCCCGCCTTCTGCAGCGAATCGCCCACGGTGCCCAGCTCGGGCGCCCCCTCCCCGAGGACGAGGTGCACAGACAGCGCCCCTCGCGGAGGGGGCCTCTGGCTGCACAACTGCCTCGCCCGATGGCCCACGGAAGCACCCCATCCCCGCATGCCCGCTCCCGCCCGACAGCCCGTTCCCGCCCTCTCCCCAGTCCTGCGCGGGCCAAAGGACCACCCCCAACCCGCAGGCCCAGCCCTCCAACGCCTCGCGCAGGGAAGCCCCCTTCCCCTCCCCCTCCTCATCCTCTTCCTCCTCCTCCTCCTCCTCCTCCTCCTCCTCCTCCTCCTCCTCCTCCTCATCATCATCATCATCATCCTCCTTCTCCTCCTCCTTCTCCTCCTCCTCCTCCTCCGACTCCGACTCCGACTCCGACTCCGACTCCGACTCCGACTCCGACTCCGACTCCGACTCCTCCGGCATAGGCTGCCCGCCTCCTCCTCCTCCTCCTCCTCCCCTCCTCCTCCTCCTCCTCCTCCTCCTCCTCCTCCTCTCTCCTCCTCCTCCTCCTCCTCATCCTCCTCCTCCTCCTCCCCTCCTCCTCCTCCCCCCGCCGCGCGAGGCAGCCCCCGCCCCCCAACCCCGCCCTGCGCTCGTTGACGAGGGAGGGCGACAGGGGGGGGGGCGGGCTCGGGACGGAGGGGGGGCATCGGCAAGCACCCCAAGAACAGACCAGCCCTCCGCCGCCTCGCGCAGGGAAGCCGCCTCCCACCCCGTCGCGCGACCCAGCCCCCGCCGCCCTCCCCCCCCCACCCTCCCACCCCCGCCCTGCGCTCGTTGATGAGGGGGGCGATACGGCAAGGGCAGTGGATGAGGAACCATTGGATAAGGAATCCAAGGTCTGGAAGCCAGTGGAACGCCAATGTCTATCACCGCCGCCCTCATGAGGTAAGGAACCCTCCAGGGTCTGAAGCCGCCTGGCCACTTTCCTTCACGGACGCCCCACCGCCCCACCGTAGGGCCGTAGGGGGGAGACTGGCTCGAAGGGGGGGAACATCGACCCTGCATCGGTGATACATCGCCGACAGATCGGCGACAGACACCCAAATCGCTAAACCGCACGTTCCTGAGCAGGGTAAGCCATCGGGCCCCTACCAGCGATGAATGGGCGATTGGGGGTCAATGCATTCCCCCCTGAACCTATCCCCCTGGAGGGGCCGACGCCTTCTCCCCGGATGCAGAAACAGCGCAAACAGAGGACTTGACGTCGTCGACCGCGCTCGGAGCGGCGAAGGCGAGGAAACACGACGGGGGCTGGCAAATGCTTGCCTGATGCATGGTCGAGGGCCTCTTTGACGAATCGGGCACGCTCGGCGAATCTTCACACACATGACCGAGATCGCGGACATCGGCGCCGATGGCGCGGAAATCCGCCAAAACCTTCTGGCCGGCGCCCACGTGCGCGGAGGGCCGGCGCTCCAACCCCGCCGCACCACGGCCGAGCGCTGGAAAGCCGTGCGGATGCGCAGGCGCACCCAGCCCCCGCACGGGCGCTGGCCCCGCCGAGCGCGTCCACCCTCTGAGCGGCTGGAGCGAGCCGTGCGTGCTGCTCGCTGCTCGACTTGGCAGGACGGGGTGCCCCGGTGCACTCCTGCCCTGACATGGGGCTTCCTCACGGGCCGGCAGGGACTGGGGGGGCGGGGCGGGGAGGAGGAGGGGAGGGGAACCAGGGAACCAGGCCTCGGACGAGCATTCGAGTCGATAGCTCGCACGAATCGAAGAAGATTGGGAGGAGAGCTGCACGACCACAGGGCCACCTCCTCCTGCGAGGAGGGGAGGGGGATGGGAGGAGGGAGTGGAAGGGAAGAGGAGGGAAGGGGATGAGAGTGAAAGGGAAGGGGAGAGGGAGGGCAGGGGGCAGGGAAGTTGAGGAGAGAGGAGAAGCAGGAGGAAATGGGGAGGGATGGTACGGGGACAGGAGAAGAAAGGCGAGGAGGAGGAGGAAGGGGAGGAAGGGGGGGATGAGTGGCAAGAGAGGATAAGACAAAGCGGAAAACTAGCGGATACGAGGGGCACGGGTGGCTGCTGGGCGCCGTTCTGTGCATAAGGTCGTACTTCTCCTGGTCGAGCTCCAGCGTGAGGACAATCTGCGGGCCGCGAATTACCGAGCAATGCTCCTCTCCCTCCCCCATACCCGCCATCCTCCGCCGAATTATCGCCATTATATTGCCATCATCCTCACCATCATCATCATCATCGTCGTCGTTATCCTCATCCGAAAATCCGAGAAACCGTCGTCAAAAGAGAAGTCGATGCCACGTACGAAAACGGCCCCATCGGTTGAACAAACAACAGGCTCGAAACGACACCCGCGTCGAATGAAAAAAGCGCAACCAGGGCACTGTTCAATGGCAAGTCAGGAAGAGAAATGGAGAACACGAGCGTCACAATAATGATCAAACGACGTATGAGAAATTCCACGATACACACATTGACTGCCTCGCCAAATATCGCATGTGGAAACAAACAACAACAACAACAACAACAACAACAACAACAACAACAACAACAACAACAACAACAACACCAACACCAACAACAACAACAACAACAACAACAGCAACAACAGCAACAACAGCAACAGCAGCAACAACAACAACAACAAAACAGCAGCGAAAACAACAACAACAACAACAACAGCAACAACAAAACGAGCTGCTTATATGGAACACTGACAGAAAGTACGCCCGGGATATACGGTTCAACATGAAATCAGTATAACAGACGATGCAAAACAAAATGGTGAACACACATGTGTTTGCATATTAGATTACCGAAAGTGCGCAACGAAACGGAATGAAAGTATAGCCAGATACCACTGTGAGGCAGCACAGCGCTTAGGTAGGCAATTGAGAAAATCCTCGTAATTAGCATCAGCACAAGCATCAGCAGCGTCAAAGTTACCATCAACACTAACGACCACAACAACAACAAACACAAACACAATCACAACAACAACAACACCATTAACAACATCAACAATCATTGTAAGACTGTTCGCTCTTGCCTGCTCGCGTGCCATTCAACACGTATATCGCCCTCTTCGTCCTCGACCGTACTCCCTCAGGAGTACATCTCTCTTACCTGCAACGTGCATTTCGTGCAGCCCCGAAAGCAGGGGAAGAGAGGACGGATGGAAGGAAGGGACAAGGAGCAGGCGGGTTGCTGAAGCGTGTCCTGCATGATTCGAGACGAAGTCTCGAGCGATAGCGCGGTTCCCAAATGAATCGTGAGGAAATCCACATCGAGAGCGTGATTCCTGAGTGTCTAGAGCGCGGCGTCTGAATAAATCGCGAGGAAGTCCCACCCGAGAGCTCGATTCTTGTATACATTGTGAGGAAATCCCGCGCGAGAGCGCGATGTTGGAATAAACTGTGAAGAAGAATCAAGCGAGAGCCGTTATTCCCGGCGGAACCGGGTGAGATTCCGTGCCCTCCGGACTGAACTGAACTAAACTGGCTGAAGAGGCACTTTGAGAAAACATTTCAACCGTTTGGGAACACCCGCAACCGCAACTAGAGGACACATTTCACCCCTCCTGCGGGCGTAACCGCAACCGCAAATAGAGAACACATTTCAACCCGCCCGCGGGCGCAACCGCAACTGCAACCGCAACCGCAACCTCAACTAGAAGACACCTTTTAACCCGCCCGCGGGCGCAACCGCAACCGCAAACGCAAATAGAGGACACATTTCAACCCGCCCGCGGGCGCAACCGCAACCGCACCTAGAGGACACATTTCAACCCGCCCGCGGGCGCAACCGCAACAGCAATCGCACCTAAAGGACATCTTTCACCCCGCCCGCGGGCGCAACCGCACCCGCAACTAAAGGACACATTTCAACCCGCCCGCGGGCGCAACCGCAACCGCAACCGCCAATAGAGGACACATTTCACCCACCCGCGGGCGCAACCTCAACCGCAACTAGACCCAGCCCGCGGGCGCAATCGCACCCGCAACCGCAACTAAAAGACACATTTCAACCCGCCCGCGGGCGCAACCGCAGTCGCACATAGAGGACATATTTCAACCCGCCCGCGGGCGCAACCGCACTTCAAGGACACATTTCAACCCGCCCGCGGGCGCAACCGCAACCGCAACCGCACCTAGAGGACACCTTTCAACCCGCCCGCGGGCGCAACCGCAACAGCAACCGCAAATAGAGGACACATTTCAACCCGCCCACGGGCGCAACCGCAAGAACAATCGCACCTAAAGGACACCTTTCACCGGTGATTGTTTGCAGAGAGGGTGGCGGGCGGGCAAAACAACACGGGGGATTGTTTGCGCGAGCTCTCGCGCGTGCACGGGAAGAGGGGGATGGGCAGAACGGCCAGGAAGAGGGAAGGAGGAGGACGATGACGACGATGAGGGGGATGCAGCGGTGGTCGTGTTCCAGGGGATTGCAGGATCAGGTGCCGATGGAGGAGGGAACCCAATGGCACGATAGGAAGAGGGACGGCCAAGAGGATGCGAAGGAGGAAGGGGCCGATGAGGACGAGGAGGAGGAGGAGGAGGAGGAGGAGGAAGGAAAAGGAGAAAGAGTACGCGGTTCTCCGCCGGGACATTGCAGCGGGGAATCCCCGTTCCACGCTGCTGCCATTGATTGTTGTTTTGTAAGCCGGGGGGCCAGGGGCACAGTTTGGTGACACCTCACTTCCCCTTGTAAAAAACAGGGTGCGAGCCCCGGGAGAAACACTGTAATTGAAAAATGCAATGGCTATAGAAATGAATTCAACCACAACAACAACAACAACAACAACAACAACAACAACAACAACAACAGCAGCAGCAGCAGCAGCAGCAGCAGCAGCAACAACAACAACAACAACAACAACAACAACAACAACCACAACCACATTCACAACCACAACAACAGCAGCAACAACAACAACAATCAGCTTAGGACTGTTCGCTCCTATTTGCTCACGTGCCAATTCATACGTATATCCCAAACCCTCGGTACCCCCTTGGGGGTATATCTTCATTACCTGCCACGCGCATGTAGCGCAGCCCCGAAAACAAGGGAAGAGAGGACGGGTGGAGGGGGGGAGAAGAATGGAGCACGAGAGAAATTAGCAGGATGGGGCAATGAGCAGAAAACAAGGAGTATAACCAGACGGGCAAATCGGGTGGGTAGACCCATAGCGAGCAGGTCGGGAAGGCGGGCCCAGGCGACGAGGTCGAGCAGGCAAATTGCTGAAGCGTGGGTCCTGCATGAATCGCGAGGCATTCTCGAGCGATTGCGCGATTCCCAAATAAATCGCCCGAAAAGCCAAAGAGATAGCGTGATTCCTGAGCGCCGAGGGCGCACCGTCTGAATAAATTGCGAGGAAGTCCCACGCGAGAGCGCGATGCGTACATGAATTGTGAGGAAGTCCCGCGCGAGAGCGCGATTTGGGAATACATTGTGAAGAAATATCAAACGGAAGCCGTTCTTGTTGTAACTCGGGGGCCACGGGCCCAGTTTGAACTTAGTGGTTTTACCTGTTACAAAGCACGGTGCGAGCCCCAAGGGAAGCACTTCAATTGAAAAAACACAATGGTCACTGGAGGGGATCAACAAAGACTATTCTTCAATAGTGAGAGTTCAACAACAACAACAACAACAACAACAACAGCAGCAACAACAACAACAACAACAACAACAACAACAACAACAACAACAACCACAACAACCACAACAACAACAACAATCATTTTAAGGCTGTTCGCCCGTATCTGCTCGAGTGTCCGATAACGCCTATTTCCCAAACCCTCGATACCCGCCCACTTCGTCTTCGATCGAACCCCTTTTGGGGGGTATACCTTTCTTCCCTGCAGGCCGGGCCCCAGCAAGCGGCGGGGCGGCCGCGGACCGTCGTCCTGGCCAGGGGCAGCGCTGATCGGCGGGGCGGCCGCGGACCGTCGACCCGACCCCAAGAGGGAAGGACAGGGGACCGACCACGACGACGACGACGACGACGACGACGTCGACGACGACAGCGACAACGACGACGACGACGGCGACGACGACGACGAGCGAAAGCGACAGTGAACGAGAACGACAGCAGGGCCACGAAGGGCACGAAGTAGGCCACGAAGGGCGACACCGGGGAGACGAAGGGAACGCGTATGGGGCCACGACGGGCGCGAACGAGCGGGGGCCACGAAGGGCAGATAATGCGGGGCCACAAAGGCAACGATGGGGCCACTGAGGATAGCAACTGGGCCACGTAGGACAATGAGGGGGCCAGAAACGGCGACAGCGGGGCCACGAAGGGCATGCACATGGGGCCAAAACGGGCGCGAACGAACGGGGGCCACGAAGGGCATACGTATGTTGGGCCGCTGAGGGCAAGGACGGGGCCACTGAGGGCAGCAACGGGGCCACGAAGGGCAGCGAGGGGGCCACGAAGGGCGACAGCGTGGCCTCGAACGGCATACATATGGGGCCACCACGGGCGCGAACGAGTGGGGGCCACGAAGGGCATACATCTATGGGGCCACGGACGGCAGCGATGGGGCCACGAAGGGCCGCAACGGGGCCACGAAGGGGAGCGAGGGGGCCACGAAGGGCTGCAACGGGGCCACGAAGGGCTGCAACGGAACGAAGGGCAGCGAGGGGGCCACGAAGGGCTGCAACGGGGCCACGAAACAAAACGAGGGGGGCCACGAAGGATTTCAACAGGGCCACGAAGGGCAGCGAGGAGGCCACGAAGAGATGCAACGGGGCCACGAAACAAAGCGAGGGGGCCACGAAGGGCTGCAACGGGGCCACGAAACAAAGCGAGGGGGCCACGAAGGGCTGCAACGGGGCCACGAAGGGATCCCGATTCCTAGGTAATCTGTGAGGGAGTCCTAAGCGTGAGCGCGACTCCTAAGTGCCTGGGTGTCGGGAGCGCGGCGCTTGTGGAAATTGCCGGAAATTCCAACGCAAGGGCGCTATTCGTCAGTAAATTGCAAGCAAGTCTCCAGTGAGAGCGCGACTCCAGAGCGCCGGGAGAGCGATTCCTGAATACATTGTAAGGAAGTCCCAATCGCGAGCGCGATTCCTGAATAAAATGCGAGGAAGTCTCGGGCGGGAGCGGGGGTCCTGGCTAAAT